GGTGCAGTTCGTCCTGGGTTTCTGTTTAATGAAAGACAGATCTCGTCCATATAGGGCTTTTCTGATCAACGGTTACTTGGAAAGTAAGCATATTTGTCACATGGATTGGCCATCCAGAACTTCTGACCTTAGTTTTATATAGCATGTCTGGGACGCTCTTGGGAGGATAATTTTAGCTCTCCATCCTCCTCAGAGAACCATCTCGGTTTTGAAAATTTTCTTGCTTCAGGAGTGCGATAGATTGCCACTGGGACTCCTCAATTTTCTCTCCAGTATGCGGTCACGATTGCATGACCTGTCTGGTTGTGAAAGGGAAATACCATATATAAGACTCATTTTCAGTTCGATTTCACAACATGGATTTTGGACATCCCTGCGCTATGAACTGTACTGCATACATAATCATGCGTACATAAAATAACTTCGGAATGGTAAATCTCTTTTTCTGTTATGAATGCATTTTCCTACCAAAGTTCCTTAAAATCTATCCCTTTAGTTTTTTAGAAATTTGACATACTGTGCAGATTCTTTTAATTTTGCACACGAAGCTAATTACAAATTCATTTGCTCTGAGAAAAAGATTAAATTGATGATAGGTACCTTACCCATACGTCCCTGTGACTTTGTCGCTTCAGTTTTCTTGTCTTTGTTTCAAATATTTTCTATGCTTCAGTGGTAGGTAAGTACAAGTTTCAAATCAAAATTGCATGAACCTTCCAAGATTGGCCTCGGAATTTCGTAGCATTAAGATATTTACCAATCGAAGATGCAGTGCAAGATTTGTATTTAACCTAGCTGTAGACAGTTGATGATACGATAACATAAGAATGAGCCTTAGAAGTTTCGACAGACTTAACATAATTAAACTTTCTTCAGCGAATACGCATGAAATGCAAAGATATGCTTGTCTGTCAGTAATAAAGAAATAGAAAAGCATGAGATGCAAAGCAATTCTGGTCTGTAACAAAAAAAGCATAGCTGCTTGAATATCCAAAATTTCTACTTGAGAGAATATATCATAGAAATGCGTATTTATTTAAATTTATAGTATTTATTTAAAATATATTTCGCGCTACTGAAATACAAAATAGCAGCTGGGATACTAAAAAAATTAATGTAATATTTAAAAGAAAAGCAACATCGATTAAGAAAGGAATAAAATATTCATTTTAAATGCATAAGAATAATTGTAATAATATTTTTGATTTTAGATCACATGAATGTAGGTGTCTTACATTTTTACGTTCACCTAGAAAAGACGCAGGTAATTTTATAAGAGACTTATATTTTGCATATCCCCTGAGGTGGATTTATAATCAAGAAGCATGTAGGATTTTTGTTCCTGTTAGTTTTACGTATATTTGTTCTAACTTGTTTTAATCAAAGACAGTTGTTTGGTGATTAATAAGGGAATTATGGAACTGATGCTTTTAAGAGAACACACTTACACTACATCGGCTTCACTGATCATGGTTCCTAAACAGTGACCTAAAGTCCTACGCAAGGGAGCAGCGACATCTATACATTCACCGGAATCTCTTATCTCTAAGCCTTTGACAAAGTTACTAAAAACCAACCGACTGACATTAGTTCGGACAGCTAAGTGCTTTCCGTTTATCTGAAGCAGAGGCCAAAGTAATGTACTGGAACAGTACCTCATCCTTCAATTACCAGGCGCTGTCGTTCCAAAGATACGGGTCTCCATGCATAGAAGGTGTAGGTTGTGAAATTGGGAGAAGATGCTGAAGTATATGAGCGAGACGGGGGAGGGGGAGATTATCAGTAGCATCTCGAATGACCTTTCAGTTTCGAAGAAGCACAACAACAAGAAAGGAGATGAAAAGATAGCTAAAAAGGCTTGAGAAAAATTGGTTAGCGTAATTAAAAGCTGTGGCGCACATACTTACAAATTAGTAAACCCCAAAGAGTTAAACAGTAAACTAATAACAGTATAATTTTAAATATTTACCTGCTTCTCTGCTTAAACATTACTTGCTTTCATGTTATTTTATATAATGTCAATGAAACATTTTCAAGTAAATATTCGTAAAATGATTTTAACAGTCTTTATCAATTATTAAATGTATGATTTACATAACGCATGCATTTGTTTTATTTAAAGTAGCATGTATTTTATATATCTGCGGTAAAATTTAAGCTAAGTTTAGTATAAGAGCAGTATTACAGACACGTATATGTCATTTTTGGTGTTTACTAAAATTTCTGATTGCTACTGCAAATAGTTGTTTGATTTTTTAATTAAGGCGATGCGCACGAGGGTTTTGTACCTTCTGGATTATTTGTTATTCTAATGATTCCTAATAATTTTCTTGCTACACATGACGAAAATCACGAAAACGCCCATACGGCCCGCACTTTCGCTGGGATTCAAATCTAGGCCGAACTACCAGAGGTCAGTGATTTCACTGCTAAACCACTGGTGGGCATCAAAGCTAAAAATAACCTCATGGCAGACGTGTTCTAGGAAACTCGCTTTTATTTTTCTTATACACATTATACGCGGAGTAAACCGCAAAAGTGCTATTCGCTGAATGAGAATTATGAAAATTACAAAATTTAAATATTTATATCTATTGACCTTAGTTTTCGTAAAGTTTAGTTTTCGTAAATATATTTTTATGAATTTGGTATTTGAATAGCTAATGTTAGTTGAACTATAAATTAAATTGTTTTATTCCCCGTGCAGTGTAGAGGGTGACGAATATTAAAAGAAAGCTAAGCCGGAAAATTAAAAATACAAGAGCACGTGCATTTAACATTAAATAAATAAATATCCGTTTTTGATTTCGAGAAAGTTCCAGAAAATTCTCACCTGTGATTTAAAATCTTATAAAAGGAGGAAAACCTCTCAATTCGTGGTTATGTTAGTTAGTTTGTTATTGTTTAAAGAGTTTGTTTAGAAAACAGCTCTTGTTGACTAGCGAATTCGCGGATTAGCTTTGTCTAGCTGTTTTCAATTAAGTTCTCTTGAACGTTTGAGTAGTTAAAAGATAACTACTGTTAGATATTGTAATACTGAACGAATATCTGAGGAAAATTAAGCATTTTTGTTGTGATAATAATACATTTCGTTCATTTTTCATCGGACTTGTGCATTCATTTCATAACGAACTCGTACGCACGCAACAATTTTTGGTGTCAGGAATGCCAATCACAAGAGCGATGAAAGAACAATTAAGAAAGTTGATATCAACCTTTGCCTAGTTTAAAGAAGAAATGAAAGAAAAGATGGATGCTGGTCAGGAGTGGGGTTTGAATGCCAATCACAAGAGCGATTGAAGAACAATTAAGACAGTTGATATCAGCCTTTCCCTCGTTTAAAGAAGAAATGAAAGAAAAGATGGATGCTGGTCAAGCAAAAATGAAATCGGGACAAGAATCCGTTAAAGCAGAGATGAAAGCAGTTAACGGAAAGATGCAAGCTGGTCAGGAAAAGATGGAAGAATCCGTTAAAAAGGAGATGGAAGCCGTTCAAGAAAAATTGAAGCAGGTCGAGAGGAAATAAAAAAAAAGAGATTACTTGTATAATAGAAAACAAATTTGAGACTATGGAAGGCAGAATAGACACTGTTGAAACTAAAGTTGGACAAATAGAAGAAAGAGTTTCTTCGGTGAAAGAACAAGTAGAAGAAAGAATTTCTTCTATAAAAGATTATATAGAAGAGAGAGTCTGCCGTCGAACAACAAATTGATGATAGGGTTCAGCAGTTGCGACAGAAGTTGATACTTTAAAGAAGATCGTAGCGACGGCAGGGAGCAATTCGAATAGTTTTAAATTTTTATCGATGCTCGCTGGTCCCGTTCTGAAACTATTTACATATGATGGAACGACTTCCTGGCAGGTGTATAAGACACAATATTCTATCGTTGCGGATGCGAATAGATGGGATTCCCAAGCTAAGGCCTGTCGTCTTCCCAAGCTAAGACCATTTCTCAGCAACAAATTAATGACCATATTGAGGAACGGAGGTTGCCAGATAATGAAAAACCTTGTTTTAAAGCACTCAAGATTTCTACAGTGAATGGCAACAGTAACGGACTGTCCATCAATGGGCATATCGAGGGAGTTCCTTGCAATATGATCATTGACACAGGAGCTAATGTTACCATCATTAGGAAAGATTTCGCTGAACAGTTTAAAGATAAACTTATTTGGACGCCATATTGTGTTATCCTTCAGACTGCGTCTGGTGACAAGATCGACATAGCTGGGAAGTTAAACGTGAACATCATGTTTGGAAGTGCCGCCTACCATCACATGGCATATGTGGCGGATATTACAGATGCATGTATACTCGGATTGGACTTTTTAAGGAAATATAATTTTTCCTTAGACTTCAAAAACAATAAGCTGTTCTCAGCATCTGAGGACATGACGAGACATCTTCAAAAAGGATCATTGCCTGGAAACGCCGACGTCTCATGTGAAAGACCCTACTTAGAAAGCTGCCGAAATCATACTAGGATCGGAGAGAAATACCAGACAACCGGCTATTCTCCATCTTCGGTCGTGACCTTCGTCTGCCATGTGATCTCTTGTTTGGCCGTCCTCTGGATGCTCCTTCATAACCTGAGGATGTGTGATGTGATTATGGCAAAGCCTCGAGGGCTATCTGCCTAAGGGAAGTTATTAAAATAAATCGATTAAATGTGAAAAATAATTCCTAAAGTTTGATAAAAAGAATTACAATTAACATTTATTGAGCTAACACACAGAAGCGACTTCAGCTATCGCTTAACCTTTACTGTCGACGCTTTTCTTAATATCTTCTGAATCAGAGATATTCATTAAACTTTAATCGCACAGAAGCTAATTAAATAATTGAAAAATTATTTCTGGGAATGCAATCTGTTTTGCTGTTGAAAGATTTGTGGAAAACTAGTTCAAGATATAAAGACGAAAACGAGTTAAGATGATAAAGAAATGAAATTCCGAAAAGGCATCTAATCGGCAATTAATTAAAACTCCTTTAACTTACTTGTCGAGCAATCTGCAGCCGGTTGTTCTCCCGTCTCCATGACAGCACAGTGAAATTCTCGAAAAAGTTTTCATCGGTAAGTTGAATCCTAAGAAAAAGAAAATTAATTAACATCGCATAGAATAAATTTGTCATTTCACTTGAGTAATTAACTATTTGTGACACCTTAAACCAAGAATTTTCGCTTTCAAGATTACATGGAAGACGAATTGTTAAAAAAAAAAAAAAAAAAAGATTCAAAGATCATTTAAAAAATTGGGCTTATTCCGGAAAGTAATGGATGCAAATTGTTTACTAATTTGTTCTCATAGTATTTGAAAGCTCTACAGAATGTCATAAAATGTCTTCCTCGCGTACAAATTTCATTCTTTTTATGCTGTTTCTGCAGATAATGAGAAATACTCCATTAGAAAGTGGCGTATTTAAATGCTTCTAATCTTTTTTTATCTTTAAGGAATAATGGGACAAATATGCAGTGATAAAACGAAACTGTGGAAAATAGAAACTGATTTAAGACTAAAAATCTTTGTTTCCAAAATGATGACATGGCTTATAGCTTTTTATTTCTTTGTCGCGTCTTATCTTTGTTGATTCACGAAACAATTTGTTTGTTCTTGTTTACTGAATAGGCAATGTTAAGTATATTTACATACGTCAAACATCATATGTTTTTCATTGGTTTACACAACACTTGTTTTATTTAAACCAGCTTTAAAATCTTCATTTTAAATTATTTATTTCTTTTAGAAAATAACTTTCATTCTTACATTGTTAATCATAAATTAAAAAGAAAATTTTAACAATGGTCTGGCTGCTGCCAAAGCGAAACATAGTTGATTAAGAAATAAAAGAAAAATCCATGAATAATAATTTCTAACTAAAACAAATGTGGAACTAATGGGCAAGACAGGCGAAAATAATTTTTGACCACTTCGCTTCAGGCGTTTCTATTAAAAGTGCTCGCCTTTTATCTATGAGATAATGATGTTTGTTTGTTTTATCGATTATGGTAAATTACGTGGGAGCCGTGGGTCTAAAATAGGATGGTTTCTAAGCTAAACTGGCTAATATATATTTTACATTCAGAAAAACTACGAAAATCCAATGCAGTCAACCCATTCTGTGAGAATCGCTCGCAGATCAAAATGCCACTTTAAAACAGTCTTAGTATTTATAGAAATCGGTTTTTAAGAGGTAATGTTGTTTCAATTTTTATGAATGATATCGATAACTTTAGTAAGTACAGTTTTATTGTACCTCACTTCTACTAATATGTTTATTTCAAAACTTATGCATAGAGACAAAGGAAGCAAGCTTATAAAATGCAAACATATTCATTAAGAAAAATTTACTTATATATAAGTCCATCAATCAATTAAACAGCATGTGTTTTTTATAATTAAAATACCTGATTGATTTTAGTTTTTCGTTCTAGAGCAAACCAGTTACTGAATAGATAAGGCTGTTGAATATGAGTAATAACTGCCGGGGAGGTCCCCAATGAATAGAGACGCTGAATGAGATTACACTTATTTCCCCATGTGTAGTGTGAATGCGAGTCAGGTTCCATGAAGCTCTCCATGAAGGCATTCCTCTTAGGAAGAAAACGTCAAACCGTTAGCTTATGTAAGCTTGTACATTTTTATTAATAACATCACACAGTTGACTATATTCAAGACTACGACTTCAAGATCTAATTACTTCTAAAATGAATAAAATAAACTCAGATGGATAAAACGTTACTTAAAACTGTTCCAATATACAATTGCTTACTAATTTTCTTGGTGCAGTTTTCTACGAGTACGTGAAAACAAGATAAGTTAGGGGCACTAAAAATGCATCAGTTCACCACTTTTTGAATTTTTATCATCTAAAAATAAAATTTGTCAGCTGAGTGATTTAATACGAAGTTTACATTCAAACCAATAAGAGCTTCAAATCAAGGAATAAATCCTTACAAATATCCTCATGTTCTTATCATTTTGAGGAAAATAGCATGTATAACAAATAGAAATTCTGATAAAAGTTTAGCAGAAACTATATAGTAATAGTCTGAGAAAATTAGTGAAATTCTGTCGTAAAGGGCGTGAAAAATTAATGAATTTTAAAATTTATTTAAAAAGGACTTAACACGTAAAATCCTTCGCTATTGCTGCAAAGAAAAAATTTAATTTGATAGAAGAAATATAATTGAAAAATTATCTCCTAGGAAACTTGAAGTGTAATTTAGAGAGTAAACTCGTACTGTTGTATAAATTAAGAAGTGGAGTTTGCAAATAATTAAATTAAATACAAAATTAAAAAAACATACAATATATATATAATTGAATTTATTATACCACACACACAACCCACACACCATAATATACCGCTGATTCTTAGTGAAGACGTTTGACTGTTATACATATTATCTTCTATTTCCTTGGGACTTTCAATCATAGAATATTAATTTTTATTTTTAATATTTATTCATTTGTTTAAATCCAAAATAATTTATTTATATAATGGTTAAAAGGAGATAAAAACGTTCGCCTAACACCTTTACACTTACCTATTTCGAATGTCGTTGTCTACGACTAATCAGTGAGCTTCTTTCGAATTAATTTCTCAATAATTTATATGTAAAGAGTTTACCTCTCTCTCTCCCAACTTTTCAATGGTAAATCTAAGCGTCACTCAAGCGTTGGTTCCAACATCTATTTCGATTAAAAATTCAAAATTACAGCCATGGAAGTTAAACTGTAAATTTGGATTCAAATTATATTTTTGTATATGCATGCAATTAAGATCTTATAGTTATATAATAGTTTTAATTGTATCATAGTCTTACCTGTTTTTATATATGTTGCCAATTTTTAATTTATTCTTCTAAATTCCCCATCAGTTTTCATAACAATATTTTCACATATATGTTCTTTTTTGATCGAGAAACTATCGTGTCGGGAAATTACGTTCATATCTGAATAATATTGATTTATTTCGAAATTCGTTACATTAGTTTTACGCGATTAAAAGAGTTTGTTCAAACATACTAAGGAGACGAAACGCGATCAGTCGCAAATTAACGCGAATTTTTTCGAGAAGTGCTGATTATCGTTAGTAAAATCTAGGAAATCGCCAGTAATTTACTTGCATTTTTATATATGAATAGTTGTACCGTAATTTCTTATGTATGTACTATACTTTTTCTTTTATTTTAAAATGAGGCATGCCAATGCAAATTTTCAACTTCTTTTAAGTTAGTTATAAGCTTTTAAAAGTTTTATCTTAAGCCTGAGTTTTAATATTCCCTAATTTCAATTAGCAATAGATTCATACTTCATTTCCTGGGATATAATCATAAATAAAAAGTTTATAATAAAAATTTATATATATTCGTGATCGATATTGGCCAAAAAATATAGGGCAAAAACATAATGAAGTAAATATCAGAGTTTCTTTATACACACACACACACATACATATATTATATAGTATGTATATATAGTATATACATACATGTATATAGTATACACATACATATATATGGTATGTATATATAGTATATACATACCATATATATAGTACACACATACATATATATTGTATACACATACATATATATTGTATACACATACATATATATTGTATACACATACATATATATTGTATACACATACATATATATATATATATTGTATACACATACATATATATAGTATACACAATATATTGTATACACATAACATATATATAGTATACACATACATATATATTGTATACACATACATATATATAGTATATATTGGCATTTCAAACAATGCACTGGTCCTCAGTCTGCCGAATAAGTAGAAGAACCCTCTGTGTAATAAATAAATGTATCGTGAGGTTTGATAACGAGTTTTATAAAGATACTCAATAAGAAAATTGTAACTAAGTGCAGTTCGTAAGCATTATTGTTTAAATTGAGTCCTTTAAATAGATTATATTCCCTCTGAGCCACATATAGAAATTTTGGTGGTTGCTTTTGAAGGAATAAAAAAGGGAAACCAATTAAGAAATAAGGAAACATTTAACGTTCATGTACTAATCTTGATTCAAAGGGATGGTTCTTAATATTCATAGCTTTGTTTTCCTTACTAATTGCTCTTCCTTAATCTAAACGAGAGACTAGAGTTAAAAATTAATGGAAATCGCAAGATTAATATTTTTTAAATTAGAGAAGAATAAATAATTACAAGCGTTAATTTTATTTTTACTTAGAAAGTAGTTATATTATATTAACCACTGCTAACTTATTTTCATATACTATAAAATATGAGAATTTTATGAAGATCAAATATCTAAATGCATTTCTGTAATTTCTTCTTCAGCTATTCCGTAACTTCCTCGCAGATATTTTGGAGCCGTATGCGAAGAAATGTTCTGAGTTAGAAACTTAAAATAGCTCATACAGAACGAAATAGTTTTCTTCTCCTGTTAAAAAAGCATTTAGGAATGTTAAAAAACGTATAAAACCAAGTTTAAAATGGAATTAAATCGAATAAAAGACCTCAGGGGAACAGTCGTTGGTAGAGGCACTGAAACGCTTTTGCATTTCAAGTAACTAATACTCTTTAGAATAGTTTCAGGTACGGAGTTAAAATATGCTAAAAGTTTAACTCTCTAAAAATACTTTCTTTGGCTGTGCAAACAGTCATTTAGTCATTACTTAAAAACATGAGTTAACATAGGAACTTAACTTTTAAATATGTTATCAATTCTAAAATTTCAGTATTTTGGAATTAATTCTGTTTCACAGAATGATTAAGTTTTAAAAATTTTATTTAGATTGAATTGTTTAAATTACGGCGATGCATCCGAGGGCCGACTGTTTATATTTTTGGTTTGGTTTAGTTTATGATAGCAAAGTACGCTAGGGATATCTGCCTGAGGGACTTTCTAAGGGAAACTAGCTCGTATACACGTTACAAATGGAAAAAACCACGACAACACCCATTCCTTTCGCCTGGATTCGAACTCAGGTCGGAACTACCAGTGTTCAGCAATTTTTTCGCTCGGCCGCTAGTGGGCCCCAACTCTGCCTATGGAAAGGAATGCTTGCGTGGAGGACTTCCTAAATGAATTTGGCATGTAAACGTATTAGCGTTACACATTAGGAAAACTATGAAAACTTCCATGCAGCAGTGGGAGTTTTCATAGTTTTCCTAGTCTTTTGCCCGGATGTGAACCCAAGTAGAATCAGCAGTGTTCACGAACTTTTACCGCTCGGTCACTAGTGGGTTGAGTTTGAGTAAAGAGTAATTACTTTTTTAGTCTGATTAAGATAAATCCATTTTGGGGGGAGGGTTGTATTTTTTGTTTTCTTTCGTTTTCATTTTTAATGATACTAGATGTATAATGATGAAACATGCAAAAAATTGTAGAGTCCAGTATATAAACTGCTTTATGGAAACAGGAGTAGCAGGAAACTACACAAGAGAAGGGTTAAGGTAACCTTTTATTAAATCTTTGAAAACTTACAATGCGTCAACTCGACGCTAACAAACTTCGCCTCTGCTTGGGCAGTAACTGAAAATTAATTAACGAAACTAAAAATTTGAAGATATTAGCAAACGATAGAACTAGACTACAGGGCTCAGCGAGATCCCGTAACTTAAACCCCCTTCAAAACTAGTGGCCGCAAATAAATGCAATTAAGCCACTTGAACCAGCAATAAGCAAACGTGCCCACGGCAGAGACGGCGGCTAGAGCCTATCTCTCTCTTTCTCCTACCGAAACTCGGCTTTTAAATACGTTTTACAAAGTAGACAATTTGCATTCCGTCAACGCTACAACATTTAACTATTCTGGCACTGGCAATTAGGGGAATGAAGGCTTATAGGAAAGTCTAAACTTAAACTTTAAATTGTTAGTTAAAATAAATATAAATCCCTACAAAGTAACGAAGCTTATTCGCTGTAGGAGTTCTTGCTATCTTTCTTTGTGACAGATTTACCAATAAACGAAGAACCTTTCTTCCTGCAACCCTTGTTCTTCCATTTCATGCCGGGGAATTAGTAAGTGACTAACACGTTAACACAGCGCCTGTAATAGTAAGCTAATAAGTCAAATAAACAAAATTTAGGCCTTAAAATGGTGATGTTTTTATTAAAAACTCTTTCGATATCAACCAATGAAACAGAGAAGGTAATGTTTCTTCAACGAGCAAAAGTATTCTGCTTTTCCTTCAAAATGTAAAATTATTTTGCTTCTTGGAGAAGAGGAAGCTTCGTTGCTTGACTCCTTCCATATCAATTAGTTTGGTTTTTGGTGGTTATGGCAAAGCGTCCAGGGCTACCTGCCTAAGGTGTGTGCATTTAATTACGGCAAAGCACGCTAGGGCTATCTGCCTAAGGGGAGGGATGCCTTCGTGAAGGACTTTCTAAGGGAAACTGGCTCGTATACACGTTACACATGGGGAAAACCACGAAAACACCCATGCAGCCAGCCCGTTCGCGGGATTCGAATCTCGGACCGAATTACCAGTGTTCAGCGACTTTACCGCTCGGCCGCTAGTGGGCACCTGCCTAAGGGGAGGGATACCTTTGGGGAGGACTTTCCAATGAAACTGGCTGGTATGCACGTTACACACAGGGAAAACCACGAAAACGCCCATGCAGCCAGATCGTTCTCGGGATTCGAACCTGGAACTAGTGTTCAGCGATTCTACCGCTCGGCCGCTGGTGGGCCCCGTTCCATATCGATAGAGTTATTAATAAAAGGAAGTCAATCTTTATTTGGATTTTTGCTTCTTTTACCTTTAATTTCGGTTCTGTTACTTAAAAAATTAATGAGCTCTGAATTTTTAGTATAAGTTGTGATTTTACGATTTCAAAGACAGTTTCGTTATTTGAGTATTTACTTCTATACTAGCTGAGAACGAAGAAATTCGTTAAATCATAGGTAAGAACTATCTTTACGAAATCAAATTACTGACATCGTAATTTCTTGCTTCTTTAATTTGCTAGTAAACTTGTGGGTAGGACATGAGTTGAAATGTTTTGAGTTAAGAATTGAAAAATAGCGTATATGAGACGAAAAAGATCATTTCAGTTTCCTGCACAGCATCACGGATGAAAGCCTTAATTTCACAAAAATAATAATATAGTCGATGAATTACTTATGTTATTTCATTGTTTCTTTACTTTGCTAATAAACCTATAGCTAGGACATGTGGTGAAATGTTTTAATTTAAGAATTAAAAAGCGCCAAGACGAAAAGATCATTTCTGTTTTCCGATGAAAGCCTTAATTTCACAAAAACGGTATTATAGTCACGAATTTCTTCTTTCATTACATTGCAAAATTTTCCATTTGTAACTTCGGCATTTTTAACGTATTTGCAATGCAAGAAGTAATATAAAAAGATACCCTTATCGGTACTATTCCGTTTTGAAGACCGTAAAAAATTTGCAGCGAAAATGTATGCGCAAAAGCGCCAAATCTAGCTTACCGCGCTGATTTAAAATTGCGTAAGTTTAGATAGTTTTATATTTCTTAAGATGCAATTGAATTATTAGTTTAATTTTTAAATCATTTTTTGATATCCTGTGGATTTAACAATTTGAGAAATGCCCATGACGAAAAGTCTGCAATAGAATTTTTTCAAAGAAAAGGCATCATTCATTATAGAAAATTATGTCTGAACAACCAGTGAGATGAAATTATGCTTTAGCGCTAACTCGGTAGCGAAATAGCGATGCAAGAATCCATTCAGTTATGTTTAGCCTTTTTTTATATAAATTATAATAATGATCTGAAACAGTTTTTTACTTTTATGCTTCCATTTAGTTATGTTTAGCCTTTTTTTATATAAATTATATAATAAAAACATATTATATGAAATTAACCTTTCATCTAAATTAAAACAATTATCTTAGAATATTTATTTCCTATTATACTTCCTTTTTTGCGTTAGGGTTGCTGCAATTATTTTTGGCAGCACTGGCATCAACAATAGTTTGTCGATTTTTTACGGTCCTCAAAACGGAATAGTACCCTTTTATCTTCTCAACTATAACATGTCTCACTGTTATCTCGAAGTATGAGAAGTTTAATATCTCAGTATTTAATAGAATTTTCCTTTATAATTTAGGAAAACACCTAAGCATTCAAGTAATCCTATTAACACTCTTTGGTTTAGATAGTTTTCCTAACATTGCTTTTTTGCAAACATAAAAGAAAAATAATACAGTTTACTTAATACTTACATTTGTTATGCATGCCTATTCAGAGAATATAAGATATCTTATTAAATGTTCTTTCTTTTATTATTAGACAGTTACAAAATATTAAGTTGTATTTT